TTCGGAAAATACACTAAAAATAAAAAAAAAATGTACAAAATCGCAGGAAAGTTGAAGTTTTGTTGAAAAGCAGGCAACATCAAAATTAACTCACGATGACGAGATCAGTAATTTTGCACGTAGGCGAAAATATTAAAGACTAATTAAAATTCGCGGAAACTAAGTGTTTCAAAAATAATTTTAAGTCACGATGGTTCCAGATCTCTCTGTTTCCTAAGGTGTACTTCGTCTATTCTCATGTCGTCATTTTAAAAAAAAAGAAAGAAAAAGAAAAAAAAAGAAAACCACATAAAACAGGTAATAAAAAGAAAAATAGAAAGAAAAAGAAAAAACCACTTGCAATCTCCTTTTATTTCAACTGATAAAATGGATTTTTAGTTCTCGATAAAAAAATTCGAATTTTGCGGATTTTGATAGCAACTTGCATGTAAGTCCGTATTGCGATGGTCTTTGGGCTTGACAGTTCCCGGAAAATTTAAATAGCATCAATCAAATACTGTCGAATTCCGAAAAACAAGAAAAAAGAAACGAAGTAATTATTCAACGAGAGTGAAAATTCATCCGTCTGATATCTTCTCTGAAATATGGTATTCACATTTTTTGGGGAGTAATATTTAGATTGCGCAACGGTTTTCGTCATGATTTTATCAGGAATCTAGTGGCCCAAGAATGACAATTCTTGTGTTAAAAATAAGGTTAAAATGTAGGGACAAATTTCCAATCTAAGTCCAAGGAACAATGACGTTTGGATTATTTACAGTCAGAAACACCATGCACTATTTCAGCAACATCTTATGGCGCTTATCGAGTTTTACATACATACTCTTCAATTATCAATGTATCGCGATGGGTGGCAACACTGCACCATATCTGGCTCTTTTTTGCTCGTCTAACCCAACGAGCAAAAGAGAGTTATAGGCCATTAAGATGCACATTCTTCGCTGAAATCATCTCGACACCTGTTATATAATAGTGCCCAAGGGTATTAAAATTGTCGAAAAAATTGTCGAATGTTGATAGCAGGTGAAAGGCAATGGCACCTACGCAGAGCGCACACAATTTCTACCGTTCATCCTTCGGGCAGGGGTGCTGAGAGTTTTACGGGGCAAAAATCAATCGCAATCTCAGCTTCAAAAACGCCTCACTCCGAAAAAATGTCGAAAGTACAAGTTAAGCTAAAAATGTTCAGAAGTCAGCGCGGTTTGCTGTCACCCTCCGCTTTCTTTATTTGCTTAGCAAAACGATAAAAAACATTTTTTTTATTAAAACATTTTTTTATCAAAACATTTCTTTCATCAGAAACTTTTTTTAAATCAAAACATTTTTCTTATCAAAAAATTTCCTTGTAGGCTCACAGATTTTCTTCCATGATAAGACGAGATATGATAAGAAAACTGCAATGCCCCGAATCGAGGTGCGAGTTTCGCGATCTGTGTTTTCGCGCGAAAATCTTGCGATTTCGCTAAGAATTCGCGATTCCTCGATCTAAGCGTGATAATTTTCGTATGAATACACGTGTACACGTGTTGGCACACGCGTTCGTCATAAGTTTCCTTATGCAGATGAGCGATTTTATAAATAAGCCAGAAATAGCGCGATTTCAAATTGCAAAATTAATTCCACCAGTTTTTCCTTCACTTAAGCCCCTTTCTCTTTTCTTGGTGAGAAGCATCACTGAATCGTCCAGCTTGAAACCGAAGAACCCCGAAACTTCTTCTCCCCGAAAAAGCTTTCGCCAATCGCAGAAAAATACTTTTTAGGATCAGACGCAACTTCCACTTTTTTTTTTCTTTTTTCCAAAAACGAAAATTTTACCACCCGTGACGTTGATACCAGCTACTTCTGCTCAGTTTGTGAATCATCTATTTTTGGAGTATACTTAGTTTTTCCAGTCCTCCTTCTTATCAGGAGTGGATTTTAAGAAACATAAAAAGCTCTTCTTGCATATTCTCGAAGCGGAAAAACTCGAAAACTTAGGTATATGTTGGCTTTGACATATGAGGTTATGTTATATTGCTTTGTACCAAACGATATAACGAAACACTATCGAATATGATCCATTGACAACCTTCGACTCAAATCAGATTGGTTTCGTTACTTGTTAAATTTATGTACGACTCATTGGTATAAAAGTCAATTTCCCCGAATAACTGGTCACGCAGTCATTCTAGGATCTCCGAAATTGACGTAAAAGATCGGGTGGAGACCAAAAGTCGCTAAGACACGAAGCGGTAAAACCCTGATCAGACGTGCGTATGCTAAAAAGTAGCTACATAAAAATGAATAAAATCAAAAGTTAAGGCGAAGCGCGCAAATCCTGTGTACATTGTTTCTTTTTAAATAATTCATGTGCACATAGTTCCTTTCAGCAACAATAAGTCCGATTTTGGAGCCCCACCCTCTGTGGACCGGTCAGCGGATTTCGGGTGACCCCGAACATCTTCACATGTCAAACTGGGCAAATAAATTAAATTTTCTACTCATCAAATTACCGGGATGTTACAAATGTTTGGGCACATTAATGATAGTCGGGGTGAGCATTTTTCGAGGCGAAGTTTCACAAATTAGGTTAAGATTGCTCGGTCAATTGAGGGGCTTGGAAGACAATGCGCATATTAAGTGCAGTTTTTGAAAAAAAAAATGAGATATTACTGATTTCAAGTAAAACTACTCCTGTTGCAAAATTCGCTCCCAAATTCCAATTTTTAAGCATCAAAAAGTCATATTAGCTTTCTTTCCACCAAAAGGCTCCATGTAATTTTGAAACTTCAAACACGTATATCTCGAAATGACAAAAACTGCACTTATGCGCCTTGTCTTCCAAGCCCCTCCATTGGACTGCATTTTGCAATTTGGAGCTATAAATTCCAACTCATGTGAAAAAACACTTATACGCAAAGGGAAACTCATGGCACATACGCTGTTTTTAAACTATATAGTTCTTAATTGCAAAATGTAGTCCAATTGTTCAACTCATCATTCATCTCCAGACGAACCCGCAGCATTAACTTTTGAAAGCAACTTCTACACTGTGAGCGAGATAGTAACGCGGGGGCTCTGAATATAATGTATCAAAGAACGATTATAAATATGGATTTTTCCTGTAAATCTGGCAACCTCTTGCTAGTCGCGAATCGCGGTGGCACGCGAGAACCAGAATGAGATCCTGGCGGATTTGGAAATGCATAATAATGCGACACCACCGCGGTACTCATGCTAATTGAGCCGGTCAAATATAAAACCTAACAAGTCTGATTCCTGTTGAGCTCTGAACTGTATAAGAACGCCCGTATTTTAGGGCTTTTGAGATAACTGCCGAGTGCGGTGTCCGCATTCAGCGATGCTCATTCATATCGCGTTAATAACGCGAAAGCTCTCGATTCCATGTAGCGCGTGCGAAGATGCAACTGTGACGTTGACAAATTTCCATACAAATAGGGGGGTTTCCTTCGGCCAATTTATTTCGGGTGCAATTTAAAAGCTCTACCCGGAAAGTGCCAAACATCGAGGGGAAAAAATCCAGAATTCGGAAAAACTGAATTCAGCCGTAAATTTTTGGTGCATGGGACATCTTTTTGGTGCATGTTAATATTCAGACCACCGTGGTCAAAAATACGAAACTGTTTAGTTCTTCACTAGTCACTGAGAATGCTTTAAACTCTTTTGACTTAGACAATTTTCGAAACAAACAAAAACTCAAACCCATTTTTAAGTGAAAAACCCCCTAAAAACATCTTTTCTGCGATAAGATGGAGCATTATTTCTTCTCTTCCGAGCTTGGCAGTTTTCGAAAATGAAGCCCGATAAGTGCCTAATTTCCAGAAAAAATGTCTCAAATGAAAATCGGTATTTCTTCTCATTTTCTCCCAGATTCTATTGGGGGAAACTAGAATAGTGCACCCACAAAAGAAAATGATAAGATTAACCATCTGCTATTCTATCATTTAAGTTGTTCCCGTTTTCAAGCTCTGAAGATAACATGATTGCGAAGAATAGAGCCTATTCGTCGCTTCACTGGAAAAAAAAATAAAAACACATTGAATCTAAAGTCCAGACTCTTGAAAACATTGACAAGAAAAAATAATCTCGATTCGATCAGATTTTTGCTTAAATCAAAAGGAAATCCGCTCAAATTAAGAGGCTTGGTTCTTGATTTAAGCAAAACTCCGATTGAATCAAGAGTATTTTTTCTTGTCGATGTTTTTAAGAGTCTGGACTCTAGATCCAATGTGTTTTTTTTTCAGTGTTGCGAGGCGCGGAGAGCAGATTTGAGGATGATGATTGGCCTTTGAGAATATTATTATTTCAAACCTTTAAACTGGCAACTTCTGGAAGAAGAGCATCGAAGACGAAGACGAACTTCAGAGGGTTTGACGGCGGAATCTCTGCCTTGGCAGCAAGTTATGTTTTTACATATATTTTGAATTGAATTGCAAGTTCCCTTCAAGAGGAGGAGGGGGTAGGCGTTATGGTAGGATTAAAGGTTTTGGTATGTCGCTTACAATCCTTTCGAGCCGGATGACCATTCGATGATTTCAACGCAATTTGGAACATTTGTATAGAGCGCGATAAATTAACAAGGTATCAATTACGATTCAATTCCATACCTTAAATGGATGACATTTAGACATAAATGTTCGCATGCCTTCGATGCGTTAGAATTGTATTTCATGATTTATTCATCGCTAATAATAACGTCACTTCTAACCGCGACCTCCAAAAGAAAAAAGAACCGGCACAAAGACCAAGAAACAAGAGGAAAGTCAAAAAGTAGTAGTGGCAGAATTTGTTCAATTCTGTCTTAGCAACTTTACGAAGATGGGAAAAGTAAAAAATTGTAAACCAGAAAAACAGAAAAGAATGGAAAGAAAAAAAGAGAGGAAAAATATAAAAACAAAAAACGAAAAGACAAAGAGAGAAACGAGAAAACAAAAGGCAATAAAAATAAAATAAAAGAAAACGGAGGGAAATTCGAGAAAAAATTCAGAGGATAAACTGACCTTCCGAAACATGTGGAGGCAAAGATCACGCCCAGAACAAGGCTTACGATTTGCCTAAGGGCTGGACTCGCTTTCGACGGATGAAGAAGCGACTGGAATGTTGGGGCTATCGTTAGAGCTGTTATCTGTACAGTTATAAACGTTATCTGTAACAAAATACAAAATTACACCAAATAAATAAATGCGTGCATGAATTGGAATCAACGATGATTCAAAGAATGTAGAGCTGTAAAAGATCGGGCAAAGAGTGCAAGAGATATTTTTAAACTTTACTATCGCATTTCAAACGGAAGAGAGGTATTATCAAACCGTAAAAGTTCTGAAAAAAAACTTTAATGACGGACCGATAGCCACAGTGGTAAGTGAATCGTTCGGTGATGTAGTACTATCAAGACTTCGCAGCACTGGTGGTTTCTTGGATCTTTCAAATTTGGATTAATTTTGCAATAAGAAACCACTATCTTTGACTCTTCCATAGATGCACGCATCTACATAGGGAAATCAATGGCATAGATATGTTGTTTCTAAAATGAGCCAGAAATAGTGGTTTCTTATTGCAGAATGTGATCCATATCAACCACAGTGTTTTGAAGGGCGAGAAATTTCTTCTTAACCCTTAGATGCCCAGGACTTTTTTTATGAGTTAAGTCCCAAGTCTGATTAAATTGACCCGTACTCTTGAGTATATTGATTTTCATAGTTTTTGAAGTATTATCTATGTTATATTTTGGGAGGTAACAAATATTTTTTTTTTTTTTTTTTTTGTCAAATTTTTGGTAACACACTGATGCTTTGGCACCCCCTCCTCACCCGCTATACTCTCGCAGGAGAAATGGTCGGGTCAATTTGATCCAACTTGACATTTATATGGGTAGTCGTTGAAAAACATCCTTAACACGATTCAACTCGCGCCAAATTACCAATATTTAGACGTGCGCCTTTTGGGGCGCTTGAATAACACTTTTCCACTTTCTTACCTACTTTTTCCCAAAATGATTATTGATTTGGACACATCATAACACATTTTGAGGAAATTATCTTTAGCTTTTCTCAAATTTCAGAAATAAGACACATTTTAACGCGCGTTGATGACAGCGCAGAAAAACAACTATTCGTGCTTGATGAACGTCCACGTTGCATACGCAAAATTGAAGGCGCGATGAAGCGAGGCGTGAACTCGTAATGATGCGATTTATGTTGCCAAAGAGGTGTCGTTCAGATTCGGGAGAAAATTTAAAAAAACGAGACCAGATTACGTCTCTCCGATACCTTCGGCTGTGTTGCTCACGAAGCCCTCGGAGCACCACTACAAATAAGACAAGCGGAACCAAAACATTAAAAATAGAGCAAGGAAAAGGACCCGCGTTGATGACGGCGCAAAGATACGACTATTCGTACTTGATGGATGTCCGTGTTGCGTCTGCCAAATTGAAGGCGCGATGGCACGAGGCGTGCACTCGCAATCGCAATGCTCCGTTGCGTGTTGCTTGTAAAGTGTCGCTCCTATTCGGGAGAAAATTAAAAAACGAGACCGGATTACGTCCATCCTGTTTTCAGCTATGTTACTCACGTGGTCTTTGAAACTCCACTTCAAATAATACAAATGGAAACAAACACAATTTTGAAATAGAGCAAGGGGAAAGCAGCGCGTTGATGACGGCGCAGAGATACAACTATTCGTGCTTGGTGGATGTCCGTGTTGCATCTGCGAAATTGAAGGCGCGATGGCGCGAGGCGTGACTTTGCAATGCTCCGCTCTATGCTGTCACTTGAGAATCGCTCCGATTCGGAAGCTGGAAGCAAAGTTAAGAGACGCGGTCCGAATACGTCTCTCTTATTTTCGGCTGTCTTCACTCCCGACTTTTTTCCTTCTTTTTCAATTTGACGTCTGATTTTTTTTAGGATATATTCGTAGACCTGTATGTAGATGACAAGGCGGAGAAATGGTGCTGAGTCCACACCATTTCGCAAGGAAAACAATGTAGGACCTAAAAGTAGGTAAAGCTCATTTGTGTTCATCCAGGGCGTGTGTTTTTAGCAAGCCTCGGGTCAATTTGACCCGGTTTGTGCATTCAAGGGTTAAGGCTTGGGTAGGCGATGAAATCAATTTTTTGGATTTTATTTTTGAAATTAATTAATTTTTGTACCGCAAACTTCACAGTGTCAATACTACGCTTTAATTGCACGATTAGGGGCATTTTTTGTCCCAAAATCTTCGTAAAAAACACTTAAGATAATAACTCGATTTTGAGCGTTTGTGGGCTAAACTTAAGAATCGTTTTCCCGCGGCCGGTATACCATTAAAGAACTGGCGACTATGACAGTTCCTCAGTGTTGCCACTCCGATGAGAAATACACGGAGCTATTGTAAAATGAGCGATAGTTTTTGGACAGAAATCTGCGTTTCTGCAACTTCGTTTGTCGGTGAGTTTTCGACATTCCAATTCGCGAGAGAATGAAGCTGTCTTGAGTTCCGACCCCGCGTAGTAATGAGAGTGAAAACTTGATCCGCTGGATTTTACGGTGGGTTTTTTTGACATATTCTGAAAGCTGCCCTGGCTCTTTCCGCGCAGCGTGGGAATTTTAGAATCCGTTATAAATCCATCTTGTCTCGTTGGCTATCCGATTGATTTGTGATTTCCCAGAATCGGATATTAAGCTTTTGCCGCGACTGCTTTCGTCAGAATGGATTTGACTACACGCAGGAGCATTTGGTTAGATTGAATTCCTATATTGAATATAGACTATCGCTACGACGAGAATCTCTCTAGATCGAGGAAATTGGCCGGTCTCTTGAGTTCTCGTTACAGGGAGAAAGTACTATACTCACAGAATACATTTACAGGGAAGAAAAATCAGGGAAAGTTTCAAGAAATAACGTTGAGCATTCGGACTACCTACATTTTGCATTTTGGAAATTCTGTCTCAATTTAGAAACAACAACGAATGTATCGTTCGTTTCCCTATGCACATAAGTGTTTTTACCGACGAGCCAGAAATTGCAAAATGTAGTCAGTTCTTCTGGAAAAATTAATTATAACGGGAAGTCTACAGCCTGGGTATCTAATAAAACAAGCTGGCCAAAAATCAGTGCTTATTCAGTGCATTCCCAAGAAATTCAGTATCTCCTTAACAGAAAAATTCAGAATTTTTTCAGCATCCCAATTCGACGAAATTCGAAAAATTTCAAAAATTTGAATATCTCGCTCAAACCGCGAAAAAAATGCCAAAAAATGAAAAAAATTCCGAACCTTCTGGCGGAATTTTCGCAATTTTTCAGTACTTCTGGACCGCCCTTAAAAAATCAATACTATTTCCGGACTTTCCAGAAATTCCGGACTTGTAGACACCCTGACATTTTATTGTTAATCTTAAAATTCAAAACTAACAATAAGTTCTGCAAACGCAGTCAGGCTACAATGCGTAGTACTGTTGCCAAGTTCTACGTTAAAACTTGACGTTTCTTTGATAGTTCGGGCTTTGGGCTAAAAATATGAGGAATATACTAGACGATTTTGGCTGTGAGCTACAATCGCATCCATTTCCGCGAGTTCGCGTGATAGAGCAATGTTATCAGGCAGAACAGAAAAATTCAGAATTTTTTCAGCACCTCAATTCGACGAAATTCGGAAAATTTCAAAAATTTGAATATCTCGCTCAAACCGCGACAAAAATGCCAAAAAATGAAAAAAATTCCGAACCTTCTGGCGGAATTTCCGCAATTTTTCAGTACTTCCGGACCGCCCTTAAAAAATCAGTACTATTTTCGGACTTTCCGGAAATTCCGAATTTGTAGACACCCTGACAGCGTCGCAAATCGGCATACTAGTTTTCGCAGTTTCACCTTCGCATTGTCTCTCAGCCAGATCAAATTTAAACGCAGGGATAGAGTGGGGGTGGGGAAGAAGGGGGGGGGCAATGACCCACTCAGCTAGCCCTCGACAACATGCGCCTTTGATCCGAGAAAAGCGCGAGTGACCCATTTCCGGGCGTCGCAACGTTCATTCATGAGCGCTGGTCGCGGACGCGGCGAGTTGAACGACTGCCACTCGGCGGCTCGGGAGGTTGGAAGTTCAGTTGGCCGAGGTTAATGGGCTGCGGTCCCGACCGGCGGCGTGGATGCAATAACGCACTCGGCTCCGTCGAGAAAAGTCACCGCGAGACCGCGGTTGCGAAACGCGCAAAGCGCGGAAATGACACCACTGCATTTCTCGCAACGGCCGTGCCATACCGCACTCAAAGCTTCGTCTCTGTAACGCAATGGGCCTCTTGCAATCTTCGGCCGGAGTGTTTTTGTAAGTGAGATTGTGGACGCTGCAGGGGTGCGAGCGGAGATAATTGAGACCCTACAACTGCAAGCCAAGAAATGTAATCGGGTGCAGAGACAATGCATTTTAGAGAGCTGCATTGACACTCAAAGCGACGTAATCGAATGAGGCGAAAGTTGAATGGAGATGTTGCATGTGTGGGGAATTTGCGATTTGACTATTGATTCGTATGTAAAAGTTCGCGAGAAACATGATAGTGCCTCTGGTTTTCCCTGAAATCAATTCCTAAGCTCAAAAAAGCTCTTAAAGTTGAGGGCGCAATGGAGGGGACATCTAACGCTATCCTGAGAGTCCACCTCTACATCAAGACAAACTCTCCATGCACAGATAGAGAGCAAATACATTAGCAGGGTTGCCGTGTTTTCAGTTTTAGAGCCCCCAAATGAAGTGGCAGCCCTGTCAATGTATTTGCTCCCCATCTTTGCATGGATAGTTTGTCTTGATGTAGAGGTGGACTCTCAGGATAGCGTGGGATATCCCCTCCATTAAGCCCTCAACTTTGAGAGCTTTTTCGAGCTTGGGAGTTGATTTCAGAGAAAACCAGCGGTACTATCGTGTTTCTCGCGAACTTTTACAAAAAAATCAATGATCAAATCGCAAATTCCTCACACATGCAAAATCTCCATTCGGAGGGCAATGCTATTTTTCGCTGGGTGAAGCTTGATGAGCAAATTCGAGAGCGAAAAATCAAATAAAATTCGCTTCATGATGACTGATGAACGTCGGAGAGTGCACTTTGCTAGGCGCGTTCTTGCAAACTTGGCTGGGGTTGCTCAACCGAATACTCAACTCTTGGGTCATCAGCTGGACAGAAGCGAGACGTGAATGATCGATGTTCGATATTTCCCTATTTAAAGTTCTGGTAAAGAATCGATTATTAAGGTGTTCGTTGCGAACACCCTGTTTATCGATTCTTTTCCATGGGTTTACATGACAGATCAATCGATACATCGCAAAGCGATCCAGTTATCATTAGGCAAATCTCAGCGTTGACTTTCGGAAGTAACAATTACACTGTAGATGAGATAGGCCGTGTGCCATCTCTGAAATATATTTGTCTCTGGGTGCGAAAAGTTCCGAAACGCTGACCGTTTGCGGTGATCCGGCGTTTTAACTTGCGTTTTACGGATCAGTGGCGTAGCGTGCTTAGCGATAAATCGATTGATCTGCCATTAAAACCTATAGAAAAGGATCGATATACATGGTGTTCGCAACGAACACCTTAATAATTGATTCTTTACCATAGTTTCAAATGGAGAGATATCGATAATTGATCATTCACGCCACGCTACTGTTACGGATGTAAGAGCGTAACTCGATATGCGCATGAGCATCAGAAAGCATGAATTTATATGTACCTAATGGGAGCGACGACATGAATATTCGGTTCAATGGAAAAATTCAGGCACTAAAACGAGAGTTGTAAAAAAATCACGAAAGATGCATCGGAGAAGGCAAAAAGTAACTCCATTTTCAGATGATTTTACCTTTGACACCTGCTTGTAAAGTTACAGTAATTGCCTTACTCGCGAGCGGAGGAGATAAATCTGAATCAGGGTCTACCACTATTTTGACTCCGGTAAACGCGCTTTTGCCTATGTAAGGCATTGAATGCTAAATTCCGTTCCGCACGTCGCACCGTGGCACGCTGCGGTGCGGCGCCTACAAACCTAAGTGGATACTTCAAGCCTTGCGCAATGCGTGAAGTATCCAGTTAGGTTTGTAGGCGCCAGGGCGCGTTCCGCGCTGGCAGCTTGCCGCGTTGCGTCGTTACTGCGAAATCTTGTGAGCCCGGTTTTGTTTGTACAATTATTTTCACTGATGCCATTACGTGTTAGTGGAAATATTTGGAATATTTTTGGTGAAACTATTAACATTATTTTTCTGATTCTAAATTCTTGACGCGTTACCCGTAGTCTCCTTGTATCTGCAAGGGGATGGAAACGATAGAATTCAGAATTCAACTAGATAGCTAAAAAAGTTTAACTTTTGTGACTCGTCATTGGAAATAATTCGGATTCCCCCCCCCCCCCCCCCNAAGAGCCTTGCCCAAATATTTCCTTCTATACATCATCACTGTTGATTTCTACATTCCCGATTATTGGTGGTTTTTCTCGCTAAATTTATTGCTCTTTCCTCCCTCCTCGAATTCGTTTGATGAATTACTTGGGACAATTTTGATCAAATCCAGCGTATTAGAGGAGGTCTTTTGAAGTTTTGCCCCGTCTCAAGTTTGTGCCACTTTCGCGCGGGCCTTAGCTTCATACCTCAAAAGACGGAGTTAGGAAAACTTTAGATTTCAATGATACAGACGTTATACTGCTCTTTACCGTAACATGGCAGACCTCCCTAAAAATTCGGCGAATAATACCTCTCCTCTCTCCGGTCCGGTGGCCTATACTGCCGTGCTAAGGAAGAACGCCCTATGAACATTCGAGAGGAGCCAAATTTCCTTGGATAAGACATGTATTTGTGACAAAGTTCAAGCATATTTTTCCTTGAAATTTTCAGTTATATTAGATTAAATTGCGTACAAAGTCTAAAAATTTTGGAAAATAATGTTCGCAATTTTCCCCGTAAATTCGATTTTTATCGAAAGAAACTTGGCAACGTCTGAAGGCGTATACGGCGTTCTTTCTTAGCATGGCAGTATAAAATATCCAGAGCAGGCTGAAGAGAGCCTATTAGTTCGGCGAGGGCCTAGACCTTGTGCGTTGCGAAGACACAATGACACCGATGGATCGCTTGATTGATCGGCCCATAGAAATGCCAGTAATAATAGGGGTAATCACGTCCTGCCTCTTGTACTTGACCTTAGCCACCAGATCCTAGAGGGGAGATAGCCTACCCATCATAAATTAATAACCAAAAGTTCCAATTACGATACCCGGACGTTTTTTTTATTGGGTTGAATTGGTTCCTTTTTTCGACTGGCGTAAGGTAACTGCGCCAATGAATGGCACCTTAGTGGTGGAGGTTGACTTTGATTAGTTCTCATAATTTCAAAACTTGATGAATCTTTAAGTTTTTGCAATCAATCTTCAGCAAATCTTTTCTAATTTGTGAATAAAAGCAAAATTCGTTTTAATCTTAAAAATAAATGTTAAAATAACTGGTTTTAATGAAAAAATTCATGATGCACCAGTGAATGACACCTATGCACCAGTGATTGACATCCAACTGCCCCAGTTCATGGCACCCCCTGAAGATTTTTACTTTCACTCGAAAAAGGACCCTAAGTTATGGAACCCAGATTGTTTTTTTCCATTGAAATTTTACAGTTAGGCAATGAATTCGGTCGTGAAATTCTAAACAAAACAGGTTGTTTTAAATGTATCTTAAAACTCTTTCTTCACCTGAGTTTGTACGTTCTGCATGAATTAACTTTCCCTCAGAATGGATTTTTTTAGGAGGTAGGACATTTTAAATTGAAGAAAATTGAATTTGTTTAAAACTTTTTAATGTATCAAAAATAAGAAACAGCAAAAAAATTAAATGAAATGCACAGTGGAACAGAATAAACTCTTTGAATACAAAAATCCTGAAGTAAACCATGAGTAATTCATTACTTTCAACAATCTCATATCAAAAGGAACATTGAAACTTCTTACACAGACTACACTACACTACACTACACACTACACACTACACTACACTACACACTACACTACACTACACTACAGAATACACATTTTTATCACCTTTTTTGGCTAGAACACACCCTGGCTTGGGACTCAAAAATAGCGCAAACTCATCTGCGTTGAAGACTCTAGTTGGATCTTTTAGGATGTTAAATAGATCTTTCCTTTTCAAATACGTCTCAACTTTGACGCTCCACTGAATTAGATCTTCTTTCGTGACATTTGCACGAGATCTTGTGAGATTTTGTGAAGTCCTCTCCGCTAATATTGGATGACGTTTAAGAAAAGAGGCATACCATTTTCTGCCTGGACGGTCATTTTTGAACGGGACATTAATTTTACCATATCTCACCAAACGCGCGACACTATCCAGAAGCTGTGTTTTCGTTGCTGGAAATCCCATCGCAGATAAATGCGAGGCCCACTGCACTAGCGTCTCCTCATTTGTTCTTCCCAACACTGCTTCTGGGCCGACCTTTCTATCCTCTGCGGAGCCGGAATCTTTCAGTTTTCTCTGTAGAGTCGACCGCGGTACTTTAAACTTCTTTGCAGCTGCTTTGCAGCTCATGCGTATTCAATCTGCAACTCCTATAACACTATCCATTGCATCCTGCATGTCAGACGCTTTATACATGAACTTTGGCCTCTTGACAACTTTCCGTACTTTCGCCTTAGCCTTAGATTTCTTCTTGGCTTTGACCATGACTGCAATCTACAAAGAGGAAATTTAGCAATCAATTCAGTTGGCGAGTTTAAATCGTTAAAAGAATATTTAAATTTAAAATCCTGATGAAGTAATGTATATTTTAGTTAAAAATTCGGTTATCCCAAATTTAAGTTGAGGTGTATCGGAGTTAATTCAACATTGAGATGACTCCGTTTGTTTCATAATTCAAGTATTTTTGTATTTTAAGTCAAAAATGTAAAAAACACAGGCAAATATTCATCAATAGTCCGAAACTTTTGAAAAGGAAAAGTTTGTAACAAGGGTGCCATTCATCGGCTCGCTCAAAAAACTCCATGGAACCACTAATGGGCACCCATGCCATTGACTGGAATTAGCTGCAAATGATTGTACCACTTCGGGGCACCCCTGTTTTTAATGCTGAAAATCAATTTTAGCTCATTAAATTAGTAGAATTAGATTCAAAATATCACTAATACTGGTTCAAAAAGTTTTCAGCACAACAGGTTCAATGGAAAAAAATAAGAAAAATGATTTAGAGCTTGAGTTAGCTTACCTGAAACTTAAGGAAACCACACTTTTTCTCAGCACCTGACTTCCTTAGGATTGTTTATTTTTCTTCTTTTTCCTCCTCCTTGCTGGAACTGTCAGCTGTTGTTGTTTTGAACTGCTATCTGGTGGATATTTTTGAAACAATTTTTTCTTTGCCACAAAGGTAACCCATGGCTTATTAATTACATATTTTCGCTGAGGGTGCCATTAACTGGTGCAGTGCCCAAAACTGGCACACTTACCTTAAAGGATTGACTCGTGCAAAGGGGTAAATCAGTGTCGAAGCGTAAATGATCGATATTCGATACTTTTCCATTTGAAGCTGTGGTAAAAAGTCGATTATAATTTTCTGTCACCATGGATCTCCCGAATTTTCCCAGTTTCATGTCTTTGGCTTGAATCAACTTTCTTTCAATTCTGCTGAAAATCGTGCGATATTTAACAATTTTTCCCCCTCGAATTTTCGGTCTTATACAAAAGATGCTCATTTCCAATTTTTGACCTCGACTTTCCACTTCGATCGTTTCGTTCAACATCGAAACTGAGGCTGAAAATTAATCCATCACTGATCGTCCTAAAAGGAACATACTCTAAATGGCAAAATAAACAGGATGGAAAATAGGAGACAAAAATCTTCTGCACAAGAGAGATTTGATTTTGTTTTAAACTTATTGAAACACTATCGAGTTTGAGTTTAACTGTGGCAAAGATTTTTTATCACACGCACGGTCAAATTAAGTGAATTCTTTTATTAACTATGGTCACAGCTCTCTTTTCTTCTACTTTAAAAAGCTGAAGAATGTTGAGGGTAGTGGCACTTTATTCAATAATGAATGGCGGTGTAGTGACCAAAAACTGAACAGTCACGGCGTTAANGGGGGGGGGGGGGATTTGATTGGAGTAAAATCAGCGTGTATAATCAAGCTCAACGAAAATTTCGAACGATAAAACCTAATGTTCAGCTTCGACAAGCAAGTTTTACACTAGTTGGAGTTAAAAAGTCTCGTGAACTTATTGTGTCAATTTCATTATTGACGTGAAAGTATATGATCAAAAACTTTTAGTTATTAATTTGTTTTCTTTCTAGGCCCTTATATTATTTTCCATTTCTGCATATCTCATATGTCATTGTGTTTTCCTTAAACGATGCTATTATTTTAAGTGGTTACCGGTTGCAGGAAGCGCTAACGCTGTTAGCCCGTCGATACGGTCACCACCTTAAAAGGATTACAGCTTTCAGCGAGATCATTCATGATTTGACGTGAAAGGTCGAATACTTGTTGGGTTTCTGAGGCTGGAACATTCTAAATGGATTACTTAGTTTGGATGTGCTTTCACGACTAAAGTGTAAAATCACTTAAAGCAATTTGAGACCCACACCACACAGTAAACAAAGTCGAAAAGAAAAAATAGTAAGAGTTAGGGGTATAATATAAAATTTGATTATACCAGTTCATACACTTGAAAAAAACACATTGGATCTAGAGTCCAGACTCTTAAAAACATTGACAAGAAAAAATACTCTTGATTCAATCGGATTTTTGCTTAAATCAAAACGAAATCCGCTTAAATTAAGAGGCTTGGTTCTTGATTTGAGCTAGATTCTGATTGAATCAAGAGTACTTCTCCTTGTCGATGTTTTTAAGAGTCTGGACTCTAGATCCAATGTGTTTTTTCCAGTGTATGTAAGATATTACATCTCTGAACGGTCCGTAAGGTTGCAAGTATAGTAAAATTAAAAATTTATCGGATTTTTTTTTAACCTAGACTGCAAATTTCCACGCAACTTTTGCCTAAATCAACTGGATTTACAAACAACAATAGAAAAAACCTCCTAACTACGTTTATCCAACCACGCCTTCTGAGACGTTTATCCGCTTGTCCCGCACGGAATCGCTGATTCGCCGGCGCGGCACGCTCTTTCGCCGCGGGGAAAAGAGGAAAAGCGGCGTGTGTGAAAAACAATCGGCTCATTGTAGCTTCGTAATCACGATTTAATTGACGCCGTGAATATTCAATAGACACAAATCGGAAAGCGGGCCCCGTGAAAAACGAATAGACGCGTGTCATGTCGACAAGCGCGCGAATATTGATCAAGAACGTATACGACAATCGGAGTTCTTAGATGGAAAGTCACGGAGCCTTGCTCAACTTTGTCCTTCCTCAACTTTAAGATTAGGCGAAACGGATATTCAAACGCGTGTACGGAAAGATACGGGATCCAAAAAGTACACGAAAAGACACGCTTCAAATGAAGAAGATACAATTTTTTAAAAAATCTAATCTTGAGACGACTAACTCAGGTCGTCCTTTCCTTTGACGAAAGAACCAGTGGCGCACAGTGGATCGCACAGTCAATAGAATAGGTCGGACAAAATTTGGAAACTTTAAACGCTTATAACTCCATTTTTACAAAACTTTGAGGTTTTATAAGTGGTTTCATTGGTTTTCTCGTGAAATTTTCTATCAGAACCATCCCTTATAGTATAAAATATGACGGTTTAAACATTAAAATGTGCAGTTTTAGTTATAAATATCATGTCCGACCTCTCCTATTGACTCGATCCACTGTGTGGCGTCTGGCGTGAATTGCGATGTATCGATTATTATGCTATTTAAACCTATGGTAAAGAATCGATTATTAAGATGTTCGCTGCGAACACCCTGTTTATCGATCCTTTTCCATAGGTTTAAATGGCATAACAATCGATACATCGCAATTCACGCCACGCCATTGGAAAGAACGTAACTACATTTCAACGTGGCAAAAGGAGGGGTATCAATCAGGGCCGTTTTTGGGCCCATTCTGATTTTCCTCAAATTTACTATTTTCTGCTCATTGAAGTTGTATATTGTACGGAATATATGAGGACTTATCTGTAACAGTAGCGGATGTGAAAAATTACCTTTTCGAAACACGCTTAAAAAACTTTTGTTCACACAAAAATTTAATATGTTTGGCTCTCGCATAATGTACAGATCTCGAAGATCACATCTCAAGTATTTTCTCAAAATTTTCTCGATGACAAAATAGTTTTTTAAATGTGTTTCGAAAACGTAATTTTTCACATCGGCTATAGTTACAGATAAGTCCTCATATATTGATTTGGTCATTTTTGGTCTCTATCTATTCGGGCCTGATACTGGCATTTAGGTAACTGCAAACTCGCATTTCCGTCAAGATCGGCCTTCAGACCCATGTTTAGGCCCGTGTTAAACCAGAGAAAAGACCGGATACGACCAAATCATGATACATTCTGTAGGATGTAGATTTTCAATGAGCAAAAATTCATAGAGTTGAGGAAATTCAGCGAGAGTGCGTTCAAGAACGCGCCCCTTCTCTCTACCTGCAGATATATGCCATATCAGTGCAATTTTACCTAAAAAAGTGCATTCACTTGGCGGTATATCTTGCATGCAACAGGCCAATTTCAAAACCGCAATCTAAAAGATCAGGGAAGTCATGCTATTACAGCCAACGCTGAAAGTTTCGTCATACTTACACAACGGACACACCGGGGGGTGTTTTCGCTGTTTTCCCCTTCTAAATTGGCGTGTCATGTTTTTAGGATAGAGGGAACTTTCTGTGATGTTTTTAATTCGGTGTCATTCTTTGACTCTTTCCAGAGAGGAAGAGGGTAGAAGGAGGGGGTCGTAACCGTCAATAGAACGAACATTTCTGAAAATAAAGCGTTTGGGTCTGCTAACTCCTTTCCTACCGTGCTACAGATGATTTTGATTTACTAAAGCGAACGGAAAGTCTGCAATGACTGAACAAGAATGTCAGCAGTGCATGTTGACTTTCCTGATGCGAAGTTCCGATCATTTTTAATGATGGGTAGTTAATCTTATTCTCTTCGCAACACATATTTCTGCCGTTTCTTCGCGAGGGCGATGGTAGTTGCGTGGGAGTTTAATTCCCCAAATTGAAAAGGCAATTATCTAGAGTGATTTTTGTGTAACGCTGGACGGATTGTGAGCTCATGCTGACAGGAAAATTTGAGTGTGCTTAAGTTCTCACCCCAGCGCTCGCAAAGATAATAAAATAATGATAATAAAATTTCTAGACTATTCTCACTCAGACACCTCGGCTTTTTTAAAATTGTACGAGGAAACAAGAGAGTACGATGACCTTCTGAACATTTCGGACAGCAAGCAGGGCATGCGTCTTTCTTTTGAAATATACGATTAGAGGGCCTTGGAATAAGACAAGGCGCATACGTGCAGTTTCTGCTATTTTGAGAAATACGTGTTTGAAGTTTCGAAATTACATGGGTCCTTATGGCGGAAAGAAAGTTCAAACTGACTTCTTTTTAGTGCTTAATTGGAATTTGGGATCGAATTTTCTACAGAAAATGTATCAAGACTACTTTTATTTGAAATCATTTATACCTCAATTTTTTTGCACCTATGCGCCTTGTCTTCCCAAGACCCTCATTATAGCTTTGGTGCTTAAAATATAGAGAACATGTTTGACCTAATATTTTCACAGGGACATATTTAACACCATATAAAACAGCGTATGTATCATTGGTTTCTCTATGTAGAGAAGTAAAGTTTATGGGTGAGCCAAATATCGTAGTTCTTTCTTGCAAGATTCAGTCTAATTGATCGTCAATGCGAAACATTTCCTCAGACCGTCCTCATCAGAGCCACCAGCGTTATGGCGTGCTTTGCGCTACATGCTATATTGATTGATCTGCCGTTTAAAGCCATGGAAAAGGGTCTGTATACAGCCACAATTAGAAAAACTGGTAACCAAGTATTTCACTCTCATTAGATTCAACTAGAGGGCTGGAGCTGGTGTTATTTGTATTTTGTCGGAAGCAACTCTCCTCTGAGTCGCGTATGAGCCAGTTCCTATTTTAAATCTAATCCGAGTCGGAGTAGATTTGATCTTAATGGGAATATGCCACTTTGAGGCGAAATTCAAGATGAGGCGAAGTTGAACATACTTAGGGTTTCCTCAGTCGTCAAGAAGGCAACAACGTCTATAAAAATAATTAATTAAACGTGTTCTGCAAGAGAAAGAGGAACACTGGAACAAGCACATCTATGAAGTCAGGTGTTGAGCGAATGTCTGACGTGTCACTCAGAGAACGACTCTTTGTCGTGGAGGATCCTAAAAGCACCTCGAACATCCGGATGAATTCGAAACGATGGACGCAGAAAACACGAGTCTACTTTGCGAACCCATTTCATTGGTGCGAAAATTCATTAAAGTGGACTGCATTTAGCAAGAAGG